GTTAAATCTGACAATTCTAGATAGTGTGTAGCGGGGTCAAGAGAAAACTGGAAGTGAAATTGGACAGGTTGCTCTCCTTGGGTATCTCTGCAACCTCAACCTCATCTAAGCAGGCAGAGCTGGAGATGATGCTTTCTCATATTTTGCAGTGGCTTTTAGTTGTATAATTCTATTTGGGAAATCACTTTTAATTTAGTCCCATGATGATGGTGCATCCTGTGTATGGACTCCTTCGTGAATATGAAGAGAACTGTGGGCCCTTTTTACAGAAAAATGAACCTACTAGCTACACACACACACACACACACACACACACACACAGAGTTTTCAGGGAGTTCCCAGCCTTCATGTAAGAGTAACACATTCCCTCTAGGGCTGTGGTCTGAGTGTGGCAGTTCTTGGGTTCTGAGTAGGAGGAAATGGCGTCTTGTCGGTAACCTCAGCTGAAACGTAGTGCTTCTGTTAGCTCTGGCCACCCACACACCATGACAAAACACAGAAGCGGGCAGGAAGAAACATACCATCCCTCCCCTTGGTGAATGGCTTGAACCACTTCCCTCTTCTACCTCTCCCAGAAATCACGGGGAGTCAGGCATATTCAGACCAAAAGCCCACCTATCCTCGCGGGCTTATGCTGCCACAGAGTGGAGGGCACTGAATGAAGTCACGCTTCATGCCAAGTCCCTCTTCACTCCCCTTCCCGCCCTTCCTGCCAATGGCAGGCATAGCCCACTGGCTCCCACTCTGAGGACCATGTCTGTCAGAAACTGGCTGTCACCAGCTGGTGGCAACCCTCCAGAATATATTCTGGACGCTCTGGGCTGGGTGATCAAACCCCTGGTCTGAACACGCGGGGGGCAGATCTCAGCAGGCATGCCTGGAGTCTCCTTATGGCCCTTTCTGGAAAGCTCTCTGAGCCTCCATAGCCTGCTGTTCTCCAGGCCTTATAGAAGAAAGACAGAAGTGGCCAAGGCCAGGGGGATGTGGCTTCCAGAATCTCTTAAAGGATCTAAATTACAGAAAAATCTCATTTCAGGTTGCTTCTGTCTCTGTCAGACAAGCATGTTTATGTGACATTCAGCTCTGCTGGACTGCTCTGTGGAATACGGTGCCCCAAATGACCAAGTGCATCAAGCAAACAATCACAGTGATATACCCTACAGTGCACGATTGTAGAATAATGTTTTATGTTGAACATTTTCTACAATTAAAAATTAATTTAATGAATACAGTAGTATGATTTCCAATCATAATTTTTTTTTTTTTTTTGAGATGGAGTTTCGCTCGTTGCTCAAGCTGGAGTGCAATGGTACGATCTTGGCTCACTGCAACCTCTGCCTCCTGGGTTCAAGCGATTCTCCTGCCTCAGCCTCCCAAGTAGCTGGGATTACAGGCATGCTCCATCATGCCCAGCTAATTTTTTGTATTTACTAGAGATGGGGTTTCATCATGTTGGTCAGGCTGATCTCAAACTCCTGCCCTCAGGTGATCCTCCTGCCTCAGCCTCCCAAAGTGCTGGGATTATAGGCATGAGCCACCGCGCCAGGCCTCCAATCATAATTTCTTTGGAAGAAGGGTCCTTTGTTCTGAGGTTGGATAGCTTTTCCTAAAATCTTCTGAGTTAGGCCAAGAGTGGTGGCTCATGCCTGTAATCCCAGCACTTCAGGAGGCTGAGGCAGGTGGATCCCTTGAGCTCAGGAGTTTGAGACCAGCCTGGGCAACATAGTAAAACCCTGTCTCTCCAAAATTACAAAAATTAGCCAGGTGTTGTGGCATGCACCTGTAGACCCATCTACTCAAGAGGCTGAGGTGAGAGGTTGGCTTGAGCCCAGGAAGTGGAGGTTGCAGTGAGCCACGATAGCACCACTGCACTCCAGTCTGGGCAACAGAGCCAGACCTTGTCTCAGAAAAAAAAAAAAAAAAAAATCTTTTGAAACCACAATGGTGATATTTGATTTTTAAAAAATGTCCTTACTTGAAAAAATTAAAAGCCAGCATACCTCCAAATTATTTGAAAATTCTACTGGGAATTTTCAGAAAATCCAAACAGCTGGAAACCACTTGTTTAACCCACTGAGGGTTAGGGTTCCCTGACCCCGGGAAGTGGGAACTGAAATGGGAGGCCCACCCACGGAGCTCCTGCCCTCCTGCGGGGCAGTGCAACACGACCTTCAGCTGATGCATTCTGGTGGGTTTCAGGCTCCCTCTTCCAAATATGGGGAGACTGGTTTCTGGCCTAACCTCTTCCCAGGAGTGTTCTAAGGATAAAATGTCACGTACTAAAGAGCTTTGGGAAAGGAGCTCTATAAATATACGAGATTACTGTTCCCAAAGACAGCTGGTGTGTTTTTAGTGGGAAGGGCTGAATGATTCCACAGAGACTCAGGACAATTTCTCTGCCAGGGCATCCAGGGAAAATGACCAGCACTACTCATAAAACCTGCAAACTGTTCCACTGACAAGCGGGACCGGACAGAGGCAAAGGGTCTCCCAGTGGGCTTCACTTTCCTCCCTCAGAGGGCACAGGTCCAAAACGCAACTCGAATTCAGGAAGCCTAGAGTTCTAGTTTGTGTCTCAGGGACATACCTAGGGAACCACCGCAGGTCACCTAACTCTCCCTCATTTAGGTTTTCCCATCTCTAAAAAGTGTGGATGTCTGCTGAGTCCCCTTTTCACAAGGGTGGTACGAAGCTGTGAGAAAACACATAATCCATTCCTAAATACCTCACTTGATAGATTACCTACCGTTCATGTTTAATTCCTGCCACTTTAAGTCCTTTTTAAAACAATATGGGACTTTAGTTTCTTTTAATGTTTAACTCCAGAATAGCTTTCCCCATGATTGTACCCCAAATCACACTGCGGCGGGGCAGTGGGGGCCAGGGGGTTACTCCCCTTGCCACAGACGAAAGGGTGAACAGGGACTGAAAAATCACTTTGTCACGTACCTGAGCATGAACAGTAAAGGAGGTGGCTCAGATGCTTTGACCAAAATAGCTGTAAGCACCATACACCCCAAACAAAAAACAGTGTCTTGGGAAATGTGTGTGCCAGTTCCCTCCCTTCGACACATAGCTGAGAATTAACTGCAGATGAAAGTCCTTTGATCTTTAGAAATCTGAGGCATCAGGCCGCTCAGGGTTAGCCATCACCATCACTTCTGTTTGAACTTGTCTGGTATTTCACATTTATCAGCCCTATTATAAGTTAACAGTGTTACTGACTTTAGTCAACTTTGGCACTCCCAGTCCCTGTGATCCTGCAGGTAAGTTGACACCCCGAGCAAGCTGGCAGCTCACAGAACCTTTTCAGGTATCTTCAAATTGAGCAAAACAATGCCTGTAAAATCTGCTCTCCTGCCATATGTTCCCTACGGAACTGACCTAGGCAGGAGCAAGGGGTGAAAGGCAGTCAGGCACCCCTTTTCCTGCTTGGTAGTGGAGCCCAAGTTCCAGCTCCTCCTCCTCCTCCTTTCATCTTCCTACACTCTCCAGCTCATGCCTCACCTTGCCCGGACACCTTCCTTCGTTGTTATCCCTGCATTTCTGAGATGTGATAATGTGTTTTTCTGTCTCCCTATTAGACCGTGAAGTCCCTAGAGGGTAAATTCTAGCCCTACTTAACTTTGAACTCCCAGCATGTTCACAATACATGGCACCCAAAAGGAAGTAAATGTTAAGATGGATGGACAGGGGACTGAACAAATACACTAGAACTGGGCTCCCAGCCCACCCTGGGTAGGACAGGCTTGCTCTACAAGCCATTTCTCTAACATCAGGTGAGAGCCATGCTGAGCTACTGAAACCCTGCCTTGCTCATGACTAGCATTAGGTGTTTTTGAGACAGCTGGTTGAAAATGGTAGAAGGAAGAGGTAGAGGGAATTGGTCTGGTAGCTGGGAAGACGTCTCTTAAAACAGGCCCAGATGACAACTGCTTGCACCTGCAGGTCTCTGGCCCTAGTAACATGCTCTAACTACCTAACCAATCCACAGAAGACAGTTTCAAAGACCTATAAATCTAGCAGGTAAGAAGCTAATTGATGCAACTTTCAGGATGAAAAAAAAAGACAGGGGAAAGAGGATGGAGAAAGGAAGGAAGGAATTTCAGCCAGATGTACTTAAAACATCTTCTCTCTCCAGCAGTTCAAAATGATAGGGGGCTTTTTGGGGCAGGGCTGCAGTGACACCTGGGCCCCCAGAGAGTGAGATGAGCACAAGTGAGGCAGGGCTTGAAAGGCTGGGCGGGGGGTGGCAAAGCAGCCGTTCAGGAAGGAGGCCGGGCTCCCATCTGGAGAGCCAAGGGGCTGGGGCTGCTGAACAGATGGAGAGAAAGTTGCAGCTGGTGGAAATGCACTTTCATGTGTAAAGTTTGGTCCTTGGAGGATTGCGATTTCCAGCTCTAAAGGCAGCAGTGGGCAGGTGGCTCTGCTCCATACTCCGCCTTTTCCCTCCGTTGCCACCCAGACAACTCGACAGTGGCTGTGCCAGGACTCAGTCACCATGACTTCCGCCAGCATCCCTTTCAACAGGCAGAAGCTGGCATGGTGACACCTTGGCACAGCAAGGATGGCAGAGGACTGCAATGCTTCAGCAGCTGGAGGAGGCAGGGGAACAGGAGGGATTAATCCAGCCTCCCTGGAGGGACCAGGTAGACTGAGAACAGACAGACAGATGGAGGGGAAAACAGGAAAAGTACATCACAGACCTTCCAAAGCTGACCATGATGTATGCACTGGGTCTCCACTCTGGTCTTCACAGAGCTGTGGCTGAAGGAGAGGCAGTGGGGAAATGGCAAAACAGTAGATTCTGAAGCTCTGGGTTCATTTTACCCCAACCTCAATGAATATTTCTTTTCTGTTTTTGATTTTTAGTGGAGACAAGGTCTAACTATGTTGTCTAGGCTGGTCTCAAACTCCTGAGCTCAAGTGATCCTGCCGCCTTAGCCTCCCAAAATGCTGGGATTACAGGTGTAAGCCACTGCACCAGGCCTAAGAAAAAGACAGAACATAACTTTTTTTTTTTTTTTTAATGAAATATTTGCCCACAGGAGCTTTAGGAGAGAAAGTGACTTTTACATTCTCTGGCTCTAATGGAGAGCCACCTGTCCTCAAATGGGACCAGCTCTAATGGGACAAGCCTCACCCATCGGAACAGAAGCCGTTAGCACAATTCTGCAATCTCATAGAGTTCCTCCCTATAATGCTCAGACTCTTGGGGGAATCACCCACTCAACCATGCTAACCACACCCACGAGAGGAGCAGCCTGAGTAATGAACATCCGGCTCTGCCTCTTCCCTCCCTCTTTATTTACCGTAGACTGTGCTCCAGGACATGAAGAACAAAAACCACCAACTCTGTCTTGTTAAAATCCAAGTGCATTTTTTAGAATATGTGATTTTGCTTGATTTTATTTTTTTAAAAAAGACTGGAACTCAGTCCCATATTCCTATTGAGTCCATTTTCCCAAGAGATGTCACTGTTTGAGACAATAACTTAAATATTCTTGATGTGGAGGTAGTCTCTCTCTTCCTAGTGGGATGTCTTCTTGGCTCCTTTCCCAAACTTGGCATCGAGACCAAGACCTATGAAAAGAAAGAAAATGGGCTTAGCCTTATGAGGGGAAATGAAACTTACCAATGATTGTGGTGGGGTGGGGCAGTCGGCCTTGTATCTCCAAAATGGGGGCTTTCAATAAAATACACGTCAGAACACTGGTTTTATGTAACTTCCTCAGAGACAAGAGAATGGCACCAGGATACTAGTTATTACAGATATCTGTATCTATGTAGATAGATATAGATACATACATATATTTATAATACAGCAAGACTAAAAGAAATTTAAGAGTCAAAACTTCTAGGCTATGGCTGAATGTGGTGACTCGTGCCTGCAATCCCAGCATTTTGGGAGACTGAGGCAAGAGGATTATTTGAGTCGAGGAGTTTAAGGCCAGCCTAGGCAACACAGCAAGACCCCATTGCTACAAAAAAAAAACAAAAAACAAAACTAGTCAGGCGTGGTGGTACATGCCTATAATCACAGCAACTTGGGAGGCAGTGGTGGGAGGATCACTTGAGTCCAGATCAAGGCTGCAGTGAGCTATCATCGCACCACTACACTCCAGCCTGAGCAACAGAGGGAGACCCTAGGAAGGCTGGATTAGACATAAAGCTTCCTTTTCTCTTTTTATTTTCTTCTGACACAGGTTCTCACTCTGTCACACAGGTGGGAGTGCAGTGGTGTGATCACAGCTCACCTTAGCCTCCACCTCCTGGGCTCAAGCGATCCTCTCACCTCAGCCCCCTGAGTAGCTGGGACCACAGGCGTGTGCCACCATGCTCAGCTAATTTTTGTATTTTTTTGCAGAGACAAGAATTACAGGCATAAGCCACCACACTCAGCCCCTTTTCTCTTTTAAAAAAGTTTTCTCTGGGCTGAGCATGGTGGCTCACGCTTGTACTGCCAGCACTCTGGGAGGCTGAGGCGGGCGGATCACCTGAGGTCGGGAATTCGAGACCAGCCTGACCAACATGGAGAAACCCTGTCTCTACTAAAAATACAGAATTATTCAGGCATGCTGGCGCATGCCTGTAATTCTAGCTACTTGAGAGGCTGAGGCAGGAGAATTGCTTGAACCCAAGAGGAGGAGGAGGCTCACCCAGTTGGTGAGCTGAGATCATACCATTGCACTCACTCCAGTCTAGGCAACAAGAGAGAAACTCCGCCTCAAAAAAAACAGTTTTCTCTAAAAGATTTAAACAAATTTCATAAATATACAAGTAAATCTGAGGAGACAAAATCCAGCTGTGTCTCTGTGTGGCCACTTACCCAGGAACACAAGCACAGTGCCCACCCATTGCACGGGGCTGATGGGATTGGCGAAGAGGATCACAGAGGCCAAAATTGTGAAGAACTTTCGAGTTGTAGTGATGATGGAGCAGGTCAGGGGACCAAAATACACAACCGTCATAAAGATGAAGCTCTAGAGAAAGATAAAGGTGAGGTCCGGAGGGTTCTTGGGTATCTGCCATTGGTCTAAAGTCTATAAGCAGACCTCAGGGCTAATCTTGCCACCCTCTTCTTCCAGCCAGGCCAGTCTTTCTTAGGGAACCAGCTGACAGAGTAGGGAAGCCATCCCTTTTCAAGCACTCACCTGACCCAGGGCACTGGTCAGCCCAAAGAGCAGGATGTTATAGATGATGGCAGGGTACCTTTCAGCAAAGCTCAAGAACTCCCAGAGCTCGCCAGTGAACAGGATTCCTGAGAAAACATGTCAACAAATGTACGGCGTGTTTTGTGTGCTCTTACCCCCGGGTGTGCACACACACACGCAAACTCCTGCACATGGCCTGTTAAAGAACTGCAAAGGAGGTGGGATGCGGGAAAGTGTATGGCGTGGATTTGCATCGTCTCATCATGGATTCTTCTCATATTTTTCTCTGATTAGAGAAACTAAAGAGAATTTTGTGAGAAAAGCTTGAAAGTTTATGAGTTACTTCTACCAAAGTGATTACAAGCAGAAATCCTCAGATGCTGTAAAGACGCTGACCCACACATCCTTAGCTTAAGGAAGCCCCTTGCATTAGTCACCTCCAGCCATCAGCAGTCTCCACTATTAACCCCAGTGTGCTGTACAAAAAATACTTTCTACATATGCCCAAATTTGAAAAGTTAGGAAGCACTGATTTCAAAGCAAATCCATTCACATTTGAACTGTTTTCAGCGTACAGCTAACTCTGTTTCCTGTGAGCACTATGTGTCTCATTTCCTTCACGAAAGGGAACGTTCCCAGGTATCTCCCTGTGTTTTACTACTGAGTATCTTCCCGTGACACCTGACACACGACTCTCCTTCATTGTGCCAGTAACAAGTAGCAAACAAATCCTGCTGGTGCAGGTTTTTCCAGGAAGGTTTCTCAAGGGCTTGAACAAAAGGGCATCTTGGAACTAATTCAGGTCCTTGGTCTGGGCAACTAACAGCTAGAGGGATCAAAAGGATGAGGGCAGCCTGCCCTCTGGTGATACACGGGAAGAACAGCAGAACTGGCTCTCACCCATTCCCAGCAGCAACGTCGACCAAAGGTTGATGTTCAGCATCATGTGGTTGGAGCCTGTTTGGTAATGAGCCCGCATATGGTCCTGGGAAACACCAGTCAGTCCATCCAGGGTCAGCGATAATAGCTGGGAAAGAAAGGGTGCGGCCTGCAGTGAAGTGGCCAACAGGGCCCTTTCCTAACCCAGGACACAGGATTCTCACTCTCAGCCTCCTCGGAAAGCCACTCCCTTTAAAGTCCTCAGAACAAAATGTTGCCATTTGGTCACAGGTGGAAGGTGGCGAGAGACCATGCTGACTGCCTCCCCTACCCTCTCCTCCCCTGGCCCAGGTACTGGACTGACAGGCTAACTGAGCTATGTAGTGATTTTGTAATCAGAGTAGAGCAGGAAGCTCACTGCCCAACATAAGGGAGGGGAAAGGTAGTCCCAGCAGGTTAGTTTCCTAGCTTGGAGTACAGGGCTCCAGAGACTGGATCCTGTACTTAGGTTGCCTGGATTGGAATCCTGACTCTGCCACTTAAATAGCTAAATGACCATGGGCAAGCGAGTTAACCTCTCTGTGCCGAGTTTCTTCATCTGTAAAATGCAGATAATACTACATATGAGATTATTGTTGTAAAAATTAGTCAATTAACATGTAAAACACTTGGAATAGTGCCTAATGCATACACACCAGATACTATCATATTATTTTAAACTCTGGCTTCCAGGTTTCTTGGAAAGCCATAGTGAGAGACACTATTCCTTCCCTCCCTGCTCTGAGGTCTCTGTGACCTCACACCAGGATTCAGCCACAACCCTCAGAGTTATCTCTTCTCCAGAATGAGGGCTGAGCTGTAGTTAAATATTTCAGGTTTCCCACTATGGCATTAACAGAACCAGGGGCCTGCAGCAAAGACCAGATATGGGGACAAGGAGCACCACAACCTCCCTTGACACATAACTGGCCTTCTGCCTGCCTAGGTGAGGCTATCCTTTGGTTACGTTTGCTGGAGAAGGCTGCCATCCTCAAAAGGATCTCATACCAGGAGTAACTCTCCATAACCGACTGTGTGTTCTTCTATCCCAACAACTTTCTTGGGTTTGTACATGAAAAGGGCCACTCCAGCCACAATTAGCAGCACACACAGGTACTTGGCCAATGGGTACTTCTTCTTCAAGAGGGTCACCCCAAGGAGCATGACTACAGGGAAAAAACAGAGTGGAAAATTCAGGCATCCATAAGGCATCGATGACCCCAATACCCTCTCTCCCAGGAACCAGGAAAAGACTCAGGGAGAAAAGAATGACTAAGAAGGAAGGCTTAGAGAGGACAAAAGGAGGGTGCCAGGCTGGCACCTAGATAAGGATTGAGCAACAGGGTTAAGTATAAGACAGGGAGGAGGTAGAGAACAAAGGTGAAAAGTCCAGGAAGGGACAGGGCAAGGGTGGGGAACAGTGGAGAAGGAAAATAAGTTGAGACAAAGAAACTGATGATCAAAATGGGAATTAGGTTTCTCTAATGACAATGTACACACATGCAACATAGAAATGGCTGACCAAGTGAAGCAGGCTAGGTCAGCCTTTAGCTCCTATTAAGGATTACCAGCCTATGAACATCACAAGAAGTGACACAGATGACAGGATGGACAGCAGAGAGAGCTGGGGGAAAGTCCCTGGAGACAGCCATAATGGGATGATGAAGCTGAGAGGGACACAGTTGTAGTAGAGAGAGCTTACTATAGGAAGAGAGATGACAGAAGAGGAAGACCATCTTTTTTGCTTACCTGGGATTGGCTTGCAGGATTTACCAAGGACCTGAAATTAAATCCAGCAAATAATTTCTGAGCATCTGTGATGTGTCAGGTACTATGCTAGGTACCACACTGATTAAGATGAGTAAGCACAGGGCCTGCATCAGAGACTTCAGCCTCAGAAAGCAGCCCTATCATGGCCCAACCCACCACCACTAAACCCAAGTTCTATGGTTCTATACACTCCTAATGTCTCAAGGACCGTTATTTATTATTATTATTTTTTAACTCACAGATCTGAGGGAAGAACTCTTAGTCCTTTTCAAATGATATCTGAACCAACCGTCATCCCACCCTGAGGTTTCACCTGAGTTGGGTAGTTGACAAACTGTAGTGCTGAGTTGCTGGAGACCATGGCACCCAGATAGGAGATAGAACAGGCAGCATAGAGCCAGCTCCGGGTACGATCCACCCTGGCAGTGTCAAAAAACTGGATCACTGGGAGAAGACAAAAAAAAAAAAAAAAAAAAAAAAAAAAAAAAAAAAAAAAAAAAAAAAAACAAGAGAAACCTGGTGGGGCTAGGATGGACCACTAAGCAAAGCTGAAGCCACATGAAAGGAACTTGTCTGTCAAATAAGACACAAGCTATTTCTGTCCTCTTACACTGGGAAATCTCTGAAAATTATTCATCTTTCCAATGCTGCCTAAGCCCAACAAAAGACCACATGCAGGGTGGAGGTGAGGGCCTCATTCAGTTCAAGGGACCAGTCAGCCCTGCTGCTAGTCCCCAGGGAACAAAGAGAGAATGCTCAAAGCATGCTTGAAGCTGACACACAAAAGAAACTCAAAGGGAAAGAAAAAAATGTTTCAAGTATTTTCAATGGGGATTTGGAATACAGAAGACCCATTCTCTGAACATTTCTAACTCAGAAGTTGATAAAAATTGGGGAAATAATATTTTACTCCACTTCAAAGTCATTAGTTTTACAGACTTCACAGAGAGGCTGTGTGAGTACAAAATGAGGTGGAGATCATGAGTTAGCCTTTAAGGTTGAATCAATGTTTAATGCCTAGCATACTGAAGGAACTTGGGGTGATGGGGTACCCAACAAATTACTATTTAGGTACTCACAGATCTTGGCAAACACAGCATTGATCACACATTGAATGAAGACCAAAGTTAAGGCAAAGGTGAACGTCTCCTGTTTGGCTCCCTCTCCATACTTTCCTCTTGTTCTAGAAATGAAATGCATGACAAAAGAGAGGAAAATTAGTATATTTCAGTCACTGTCATCTAATATATCCAGAACCACTGAAAACTTTAAAATTATCTTGCCTCTCTGGATGTAGGGAGAGTTTGTAAGGACCACTAGGCTCATCTGCAAAAGGGGCTGATTTTACTGGATCTAGAAACTAGACATTCCAGCCTACTGATTCCATAGCCTAAGGAAAGAATACCCGAAAAATACGGAGAGGAAACATGCAAAACGAGATAGTGAAGTCAGGTACCCCAGGCAGGAGGAGACGGTATTTGGGCTACGGCACCAAGGCCGAGGGCGAATAGGTTGTTTGCAAGCATCTGGGAGTACCAAAAGGGGGCCGACTCGGGTCCTCTTTGAGGGGTAGAAGTCTCAGCCTGTAAAACGCAGGCTCTTAGAACCAAGCAGGGAAAAACAGCTAAGAAAAGAAAATAACCAAGTCCAAAGAATCCAGAAAATAACCCTGGAGTTCTGGAATTCTGGGTAGGTTCAGCCATAGCTGCAAAAGTAGTGGGGTGCTAAGAGGGCGACAGCCGGGCAGGAGGACAAGAGGCAGAAGGTCCAGAGGCAGAAGGCCCGGGACCCCTGTCACAGACTGGGGAGAGAATGTCGGCCCGCCCCCGGGGTCGCTCACATCTTTTCCTGCAGGATCCCATAGTAAAAATAGCAGACAAAGACACCCAGGAAGCAGAGCGGCAGGCGCAGCCGGTCGGGCACCAGGGAGCTGCTAGAGGCCATGAGACGCCCGGAGGAGCCGACTGGAGACCCGCTCACAACCGGCACCGGCAGCAGCGGCGGCGGAGGCGACAGATCCAGCCGGACATCGCCGACCGGCGGCAGGGGCCTCATAGGAGCTGCATGCGACCGCCGTCCAGCAGGGCCCAGCAGTCACTACCGGAACTGCCAGCTCAGGGCTGCCAAGGGGGAAACTCCTCAGAACGCAGCAACCACTTCCTAGGAAAGAAAACCCGCCCTGGGACCTTGGTTCCATCCCTGAGGGCCAGGGGAACCGGCAGCCTCGGGACCATTTTCTCGACCTGGAGATTTTTCCAATCAGGCAACTCTGAGGACAACTGCTACCCAGAGCACCACAGGGTGTCCTAGAGCCATCCGGGCGTAGAATAATGACGTATAGGGATGTGGAGGCCACCAATTGGCTGCGCTGTGCGAACTCGGACAGGTAGGCGGGACAGGAGGAGGTGCGGCCGGCAGAGCAAATCCAATAGTCTTTTCCGCGGCGGGCGGCCAGGCTTCTGCTGGGTCCTAATGCCAAAATCTCTTACTGGAGCCTCAGCGCCGTCTAGCTGCTGCCTAGCGTCAGCGACTTTACCTGCTCATTACCTAGGCACTTCACTAGGCTTCCAAGGGGGAGAGCGGCACAGTAAGTCTCGGCTTGGTCACTTAAAGGCGGGGTAACCTACCCGTGTCACCCAAGTTCTGAGCCAGAGTTTTCCAGGTCTGGAAACTAGGGATAATTAGCAATAGCCACCTTGTCGCCTCTTGACTGTTGTGAGGATCGAATGAATTGAGGTTGGTGAAAGTGTTTTGTAAAGTATGCTGTGCAAGTTTAAGGTATTATTAGTCATCACTGTTTCTCAGCCCTGATCTTATTTCCTCATATCGAGGAGTGGAAATGGAAGTTTATTGAAGTCAGTTTTCTTCCAAGTCTTAACTCACCAACAATGGCTTAAACCCTTCGGCCGCGCTTCTGAATATTTCCCATTAATGAGCACCTCGTTGGATCCCTTCCTCATGCAAGTGTTGGGTCTCCACTTGCTGGCACGAATTGCCAGGGCAAGACTGACCTAAGGTCTTCCCACTACTACCTCCAACCCCCTACTTAACTGGCCCAAATCTCCGACCACCAGGTGGACTCTGGGCTGCTCTCTAGGTCGAGGCTCCTCTTCTAGCAGCCTGCTCTTTTGGCACAGCCTCGGGCAAAGGAAGGAAATACTGGGCAGCACCACACCCGTTGCTCTGGGCCTGACTCACTAAGGCTTTGCGGGGGAGCCAGAAGTCTTTTAGAGGGAGGGGTAAGGGATAGAAGATAGGGTCTGTCCCCAGCCCACTGTCTCCTCGATATTAGTGGCATGGGAATCCCCATACATTTGCTCTCTTGCTCAGTAGCTTACTCTATTGGCTCAGCCCGCGATGCCAGGGCACCAAATAGCTGGGCGGAGAGACCTGCCAGCTCTGCTTCTTTACCAGCTGGGACCTCAAACAATTCCCTTGTCCTTGTCCTCTGAGTCAAGTTTCCTCATGTGAAATTAATGGGAATATAATAACAAGCAGGAGAGCGCTGTGGTTAGAAACATGGGCACTGGATTCAAATGATCAGGTTTCCAATCCTAGCTACCCCACTTCATATCTGTGTCTTTTGGGGAAAGTTATTCAATCTATTTGTCCTTCCCTGATTATACAGTGGGACTTACCATATTTCTCTTACTGGGTGGTTGTCATATTTCAATAACATTTTATGTAAAGCACTTAACATGGTAGCTGGTTCTTACCAGCCCAATGAATGGTGGTTAGGATAGCCTGGTTTAGGAGTTTGTTGTCAGGTCTTATGAGGTAGATACAATTGTACTTATTATTACTGCCCTTGGGGTAGTCAACTGTTCACCCATACAATGGGGATATGTCTTTTGTGAAAATGCTTTGGAAATTCCAAAGCATCATTGAAATATTGGGATGGTTATTCCCATTTTCCCCAAAAGCCTAAGAGCTCTTACAGGTGCAGCATTATAAAGGCTGCGAAAGGATAAGAATAGTGTCTTTGTATAGTTTCTTTGTTCCCTTCAAGGCTGCACACTATGTTGTGGGTACTCCCTGAGATGAACCAAAGCTTCCCCCAAACTGTCGAGAGTTCCAGCCAGTGCAAAGAACACCCACAATGTCAAACTGTCTTCCCTTGGTCACCTGCTTTTCCTCTCTGAAATCCATTCTCCTTAGGGAGCTTTTTCAGACTCACACAAGAATGGCTAACTTCCCCAATGACTCCCTCACCCCACCTCTAGGACAAACCACACTCTTCATTCTGGACAGCCTTTTCATGGGTCTGTTGTTTATGTCCATGTAAAGTATGCAAGCATGGTGTCCAGAGGACAGGAACTCTTGTGTACAGCCATAACAACACCCAGATGTGGGAATTGAGGCTCCTTCTCTTGAAGACAAAGATAAAATGATCAGTATAATACCCTTAATCTCTACCCCACTCCTCCTTCCCCACATATTTAACAGAACTTCAAGCTGCTGGGAATATTTATTTATTTATTTGGTCTATTAACACCAAGATCTGCAAAAAACAACCTCTAAACACAAGATAAGAAAACTCGAACATTAACATTCTTCAATTTTGTGTAAGCTCTGCAGTACGGAAAATATACAAACTTCAAACAGCTGCAAAAATAGTGTCTTTGGGAGAAAATAGAGTTTCTACATTGATACAAGAAAAATAGGCATTTTTCTAATCCAATCCAGCCCTGGGGCGGGCGGAGAGTATAGATTTGCCATTTGCCACCTGGAGGAATGCCAGCTCTCCTCCCCACTACCCACCTGGGGCTGGGCGGGCTGGCCTGCTGCTTAAGACAATCTTTAGTCAGGGTGAAAGCGAGATGAAAATGCCACTTGGGAAAACACTTGTTTCCTCCCTCTGCCAGCAGCTGAATTGGTCAAGTGTTAAGGCCCATTAGGACTGCTTTGGTCAGCTCCTCTAATGAGAGGGAGGCATGGGGATAGGGCTGAGAGGATGGGGGATCTATCTTACGGTCTCCTGGAAGGGAGGGAAGGAAATCTGTGGCGTCCTCTCTCCTTCATTCATGGCCAGCTTGCTCTGTGACAAAAATAAGGGCCTCCTATACAGTCATTTGGACTGACACCCAGGGGTGAGGGACTCCAGACCTTCTGGGTGTTTTCCACCAAGTGAGGGATGTGGCAGGTACACAGGTGTGAGTTGTGAGCTGCCCAGCTGCTAGTGGAGAAGGCAGGTCCCATCACGTTCAGAGGGGCCAGTGCCCATCAAAAAGAGGACCCAGGACTTTGACACGGTAAGTGAAAGAAAGTGCTCAAAGGCCGAGAGGGAAGGGCCCCTCCATACCCCATCTCAGGGGACCTGGGGAGGGACCTGCCACCAAGGCACTGGTCTCTATGGTAAAGTGGGGCAGGGATGGGACCCTCATACCATCAGGGAGCTCTGGAAAAGCACAGACTCTTCTGATGGTGGGGTGCGCTGCCATGGCTCGAAGGGCAGTGGGGAGGCCTTGGAGGCCTCCGGATCCTTCCGAGGTGGTGGCCTGGGGCTGGCCGGGGGAAGGGGAGACCCCGGGTTTGAGGGGCAGTTACGGAAGATGAAGCCCATGCCGGGGAAGAGGGGCTTCATCAGGCTGACGGGGCAGAAGGCTGAGCCGGTCGGGTTGAAATGGACTTTGTTCTTGTCAGGACAGGAAGTCAGGAAGGCCAGGTCAGGACCTGGGGACCTGGAGGACGAAGAAAGACATACAAGACACACACGTACACACAGAGAGAAACACAGTGAGAGAGGGTGAGATGTCACAGCATCAGGGCAGCAGGGGAGCTGGGTCTCTGTTCAAACAGAATCATAACTTGACCGAAAACCAAACCCCTCAGCAATCTATTTTTAAAAAAATATGCCTAAACAACAGGAAATGCACTTTAGCTAAAAACAGGAGGGATTGAAGCTAGACAGGAAGGAGAACTTCCTGACAATGTGATTCAAGAATTGGAGACCAAGAAATCTTTTCATTCGAAAGATTTCATCAGTGGCCGGGCACGGTGGCTCACACCTGTAATCTCAGCACTTTGGGAGGCCAAGGTGGATGGATCACTTGAGGTCAGGAGTTTGATACCAGCCTGGCCGACATGGTGAAACCCTGTCTCCACTAAAAATACAAAAAATTAGCTGGGCATGGTGGCACGCTTCTGTAATCCCAGCTACTCAGAAGGATGAGTCAGGAGAATTGCTTGAACTCGGGAGGCGGAGGTTGTAGTGAGCCAAGATCTTGCCATTGCACTCCAGCCTGGGCAACAGAGCAAGACTCCATCTCAAAAAAAAAAAAAAAAAAAAGAAAGAAAGGAAAAATTTCCTTAGTGAATGGTGTTTTGGTGACAAACCGCATGCCTGAAAGCAGAGATCAAAGACAAGTGACTTTCTAAGATTTTTTATTAACCTAAAGTGGGGTTTCTCAGCCTTGACACCACTGACATTTTGGGCTGGATAATTCTTTGTTGCAGGGGTGGGGATGGAGGCATTGTCCTGTGCATTGTAAGATGCCTAACAGCGTCCCTGGCCTCTACTCACTATCCCACTAGTACCACGACTCCTCCCCTCCAGCTGTGACAACTAAACATGTCTCTTGATATTGCCAAATGTTCCCTAGTTGAAATCTACTGACCTAAAGAATCTAATTGTTGGGCACATTTGAAAAGTATGGGGTTTTTTGTTGTTGTTGTTTTGTTTTTGAGACAGAGTCTCACTCTGTGGCCCAGGCTGGAGTGCAGTGTGACAGGATCATGGCTTACTGCAGCCTCAACCTCCCCAGTCCAAGCAATCCTCCCACCTCATCCTCCTGAGTATCTGGGACTACAGGCATGAACCACCATGCCCAGCTAATTACTTTATTTTTATTTTGTAGAGATGGGGTCTCTGTATGCTGCCCAGGCTGGTCTCCAGAAAGGTGTGATTTTCAAAACTTTGGGAGGAAAGCATGGCAACAACTGTGAGAAAGGCAGCTAGACCTTATCAGAAGATCTGGGTTCTAACTCACCATGTGGTCCTTGTCATGTCTGTCTCACCCCCCTTTTTAATTTTAAGTTTTTAATTTTTTTTTTTTAGAGACAGGGTCTTGCTCTCTCACCCAGGCTGGAGTACAGTGGTGTGATCATAGCTCACTGCAGCCCCAAACTCCTAGGTGCAAGTAATCCTCTTGCTCAGCTTCCCAAGTAGCTGGGATTACAGACGCCTGCCACCACTCTAGGCTAATTTTTTCTTTTTTTTTTTTTGGTAGAAATGGGGTCTCACTGTGTTGCCCA